CGAGATTCTGCTATCAATACTGAGCTGCATTAAAACGAGACACTGGTATCAATAGTGGAAGTTAGTACTATTATTACTAGTAGTAGTACTATTATTATTAGTATGATTATTCTTATTAGCATTATCATCATTATTATTATTGTTATTATTATTATTGTTATTGTTATTATTATTGTTATTATTATTATTATTGGTATTATATATAAACACAGCCTGGAATATATTCTCGACTTCGTCCTTCGGCGTATTCTATTGTCAAGTCGGGCCTGTCCCTCTACAGGGGGAAGATTCAAACATAGTCATTCTGAGACGAAGCTCCAAGATGGCCAGACGGGATTTTTTTCACGCTACCCTCGGCTCGGGCAGCACGCCGATCGGAAGGTTTCACTCGCCGCTGTCGGCGAGAGCCTGGGCCCCAGCAGCAGCGAGAGGCACGGGCCCGACAACAACACCCCATCAAAAACGGGGGGTCGGGGTGGGAAGCTAGAGCCAAAACGTTATGGACATCTATTCTGCATCTGCTCCGCACGCTGCCCCACCCCCCCCCCCCCAGTCTCTCTAGGCCCGAGGGGGGGGGGGGAGGTTTAAGCGCTCGGGGCCCCTAGACCCAGAGCGCTTCACACACGGCCTGTACCTATAGCTCTCTAAGAAAGCCCGTTAACAAACATGTATTCTGAGACGGAGATCCAAGATGGCCAGACGGGGTCTTTTTCACACTACCCTCGGCTCGCGCAGCACGCCGATCGGAAGGTTGCATTCGCCGCTGTCGGCGAGAGCCTGGGCCCAAGCAGCAGCGAGAGGCACATGCCCGACAAAAACACCCCTCACCCCGCAACCTCGGGCTCTCACTTAAAGACTGGGACTGGGGGGGTGGGTGCGTCAGCACCGATGATATAATGAGAGAAGAGGAAAGAGAGAAAGGGGCAACGGTGCCTAGCACGCCGCCGCGTCTCAGGCTTCCGGATCCACGGGCTCCATGGCCTGGCCGGCGTCAGATCCTGCGATATACGACAAGCCCCGCGATGCTGCAGATCGCCATGGGCTCTGAGTAGGGATGCTCCTCAGCGTCGAGCTCAGATCGTGAAGGGCCCTGCGGCCCGCGTCTTTGATCTTTGCAGGTAGCCGTGCGTCATGAACGATAAGAGAATGTGGCTTCGCGTACCTTGCCATCGACTTGGCTTGTGTCCACCGTCCGCGTCTCTGAAGTTCTTGAATTGAACGTCTCTGGTGCAAGGTATCGTAACTAGGTCCGCTGTGTCTCAACGTATGCATCGGTCCGATCCACTCGAGTCCGAACTTCGATTGAACACCTCTCCAAACTGAAATAGCTTGGGCAGCTGTGGTGTTGAAGACTTTATCGGTTGGCTCGATCTGCTTGACACGCTCCGCCAAGATGTGTGAGAGAAGACCACTGTCGATCGCCACTCCCTGTTCCTGGCCTGTCTTGACGCTTTCACCTCGGTGTCTACGTCCTAGAAGTAGCGCAACTTTGATCGAACCAGCTGCATGCTGAGTGCCATCACTTGGGAGGTCCTTGAAATTCATTTTGACACTGGCATGAACGTCTTCAGCTCTCAACTGCAACCAATCTTGTTCTCGAAGTTAACAGTCGTAAGCAGCAAGACAGGCTATCCCTTCGTCCACGTGGCCTGCTTTGATCGCTTGGGATGCGATGAAATAGATTGCTTCTGCAGAGGCTGGACCACCTTCCCACGACTCTTGGATTTTTCCCAGCTGTGCAGGGCACGCAAGGAAATCGGCAGCTCAGGCTTCCACTCTGGAAACAGATGGACCAGTCCATGGTATAGTCGAACTCCTCTTGGAACAGATGCCCTCTCCACGAAGCACAGGTTGTCTAGCTCCGCCGCTAGGATGGCGTCGCGCTCGGCCGCTGTAGCGAAAGGAAGCCTCTTGAGACGAACTTTCGCGAAGAAGGGTTCCACCTCCTTGATGTAGCTCACGTTCGTGTCGTCCTGAACTGCGTGAACGAGAAGTCGCAGAGGTACCTCCAGCGCGCCCGAGCCCAGGCTAGTTCTCGACACTGGGGGCTCCCGCGCTGCATTCTCGAAGGCGAGGGGGCCCTTCTTGTTTTTGGGAACGCGGGCTCGGTGCTTACCTTTCTTCTTGGCTGTCTTCTTGGTGGTCACCGCTGCCTCGAGCGCTCCTGCGAACATCCCCATGTCGTCAACCGCTGGCTCGTCGTCGTTGTCGTAGGTGTGGTCGCTTTCAAAGTGGAAGTTCTCGTTCTGGTCGTTAGACCTCGGGTCTGCGGTGGCTGTGACCCTGGCCTCTGGGGCAGAAGCAAGAATCAGGATCGTCATCGCAGATGCCAGGCCAGGTCGCAGTCGTCGTGCATGCCCCTGATCGCCAGCATGTCCCCGAAGAGTCTCTCGAACTCGAAGTCGCTGTCCATCACGGTCCTCTTCTGCTCGGACTTGGTCTTGGTGATCTCGGCGCTGCCTATCTCCTCGCCTCTCGACGGGCCGTCGGCAGGGTTCATGTCCGTGGGGGGTCCATCTCAGCGTCAATCTGATACCGGTGGCCAGCGTGATCGCACCGATCTTCTTTAGCTGAGTCATCAAAGGTCGCGAGGAGCTTCGCATCTTTCTGACTGCTCCCACCGTGTGAATAGAACCCGTGTAATACCCTCATATATACTCCTTGTCCTCACCTCTCCTGCGCCTGGCCGTTTGGGCTCAGGTATTGGGACTTCCCAAGTACTCTTGGGACAGATCGATCAGACTTTTGATCGTGCAGGAGGGAAAGACATCCATCTATCCCTCCTTCCCTCTACCAACGGATCAGGGGTTCTGTGCCCTTGTACTTCAACCCCATACACAGGTTATCAGCCCTTAAAGCTCACCTTTCATCGAACCGCACGCTGCGACCTCGCACGCGGCCTCGATGGAACCCAAGCGGCGCATGCGCCGCAAGGGGTCCATCGGGGCCTCGCGTGCGAGCTCTCCGACGGCGCGACGGCTCGGTGATGAGTTGGAGAGCCTTAGTGCGGACTGTGTTGGTGTCCCAGGCCCCCCCCCCCCCCCAGCTCCGACGGGCCCGAGGCGCGGCTAGCTGCTGAACTTCACCGCAGCGCCGCCCGCGGGGGGACAGGAGAAGGAGTAGGAACAGGAAGGAAGGAGTTCCACACGCCTACCTTCGATCCCCCATCCCGTCCTCTGTCGGGAGCAATCCCAACCGCGCCAGGCGAAAAGCCTTACTGGTCCTGACACTCCAGGGCGCTTTCGCGCTAACCGCCGATGGGCCTCAGGTGCTGGTACTCCCAGCCCTGCGACCGCCCCCGTTGCGGAGCACGTAGCCACCTTCGAGGAACTCAGTAGACCAGTGGCGGCACAGCCGCAGACGCAGCACCCCAAGGTATCATCGGATGAGACACCACACACACACATGGTCCGAGTCGCAGCTCGTCCGCGCGCAACCGCCGCGGAGCCCCAGGCCCATGCGGCGAGAGTAGGTCGAGCCCGCGCGCTGCCTCTCAGAGGCCATGCACTCCCCGTGACAGGGGACACAGGGAAGCTGACGCTCCCCACCTCTCCATCTCAGACGACCAGCTGGCGGAAACGTCCGCCGCAGGTGAAATAGCTGAGCTCAGAGACCAGGTTGAAACCTTCGTGTCCAGGCAATACTCTGGACTACTGCAGAGCGTTCAGACGAACGCCGCCGATGCTGCAGCCATACGCCACGATCTTGACGGCGCCTTAGGAATCATCGATTCCAGGATTGCCGAAGATCGACGCAACATAGGAGAGCTGCAGTGCCAGGTTGATCGCGAGGTGTCACACTCAGGTGAACGAACGGCGATGGTCGAGGACCTGCGCAACTACCTAGCGCCGATGGAGCAACAGCTTGTGCTCGTACGCGACACAGGCGTTTCAGCAGTCAGGATCCTACACGATGAGATCCACGACCAGCTCCGCAAACGACCACCGCCAGCCGAGGCCACCGACCTCGGCGACGTTCAGTCTCAGATCAATGACCTTCGATACCACATAGACCACACTACGGCGACGCTTCGCAACGAAGCACGCACCAACTCGTCGAACCTGATCGATATGTTGCAACGTACTGAGAGAGTCATCACTCAAAGGCTTGGTGCGACCGACGCTGTCGCGCAGCCACTCGCTAACCGGATCTCTGACATCGAGCAGCGTTTTCCTGGCGTACAGGGCGCCCTGGCAGAGTTGCGTGTCGGACGAGCCCAGACTGACCAGCTGGATTCTCCTCCCACGGTTTACGATTTCGCCCGCCTCACTGACAGGTTGCAGGAGGTTGAGAAGGCGGCGGACCACGCGCAGTTGGAGCTCTCCCAGGTTATTCGAGAGAGATACTGAGAAGGTACGTGTTGAGGGGCACCTCGCACGTCTGGAAAGCGAGCTGGAGGCACACGGCGCCCGTCTCCGAGCACGCGAGCAACGACTTGATCGATACTCGCAACGTTCTCGGGATACTGATGAGTACACACGCCAAAAGGTGGCCCAAATACACGAAGACATGACGAGCTGGACGAATCAGCTGATCGACCACACCAACGACACCAGTCTCCACCTTCGACCTGCAACCGACCTGCACAGGCCGACGGCAGCGTCCGCTGAAGCGCCACAAGCTTCTGCAGGACAACAACGACGTACGTCACCAGGAGCAGCCTCTGCGGCAGCTTCTGCACAGACGCGCCATGTGTCTCCCGTGCGCATAGAACCGACTACTGACGGTGTACCGATACCCTCGCAACCACTGTCTGCGGTTTCGGTCCATACTACAACTCCTATCAAGGAGTCAGACACCGTCCGAGTCCCTGTCTTGCCCAAGATCACGCAGCTGCTCGAGTGGCAGCAAAAGGTACGGAAGAACTTTGGGGCCGCCTCAGGGCGACCATCCAAAGCAGATGCCTTCCTATGCGTGGCTGAACAGCCCGAGTGTACCTTCGAGGACTTACAAGACAGTGGAGAATTTGAGAGCATCGATTGCAAACTCGCTACCGCTCTGAGCGACATCTTATCCTCAGACTTGCGCTACCAAATCAGGCCCATCGAAACCAGAGAGCACAAAGCAGGACGCATGCTCAAAGGACGCCAGATCTACTGGCACATTCTACAGTTCTACAAAGTGACAGAGGTTGATGACGACCTGCACGACTTCGAGCGCCTTAAAGAACTGAGGATGAGAGATGAATATTTGCAACGTTTTATCACTGACTGGGACGCTTTACTCTTGGAGTGCCGAGAAGCACCCGATCCAAATATCTTGGAATCTCTGTTTCGTACACAGATTCGGAGACATGCCTGGATGAAACAAGACATGTACGAGTACCAGCGCATGAAGATCAGCGACCCGAATCGTACCTATGATTGGCTCCGACAGCGCGTCCTGGACGTACTGGAGCTCGAACAATCGGAGAATAATCGGAATAAGTTACGGTACAACCATGAGACACGTTCTCAAGTCAATGTGTGCGCTGCCTGGAAGAAAGGCAATTGTCGCAATGGTGAACGGTGCAAGGCTTTGCATACATATTCCAGGGATTGGAAGAACATCAAATCTTCCAGAGCATCGACAGCTGGTGGCAACTCCCGCCGCAGCGTGTCAACTCCTGCGAATCCCAAGAAGCCAGCATCGAAACCATTTTGCTTCGAGTTCGCCAAGCGCAACACATGTACCAGAGGCGACAAGTGCAACTTTCCACGCGTCGCACAGTGTAAAGATTTCGCACAGAATAAGTGCCCCAAGGGCGACAAATGCAAATACGCTCATCTTACACCTGGTGCGAAGACTCCCGAGCGAAGCCCGAGTCGACCACGGACCTCCAGTCAGGATATTCGTGGCCGATCACCATCCCGCGGATCAGGAAGCCAGCGTTCTTCACAACGCGGGGGGTTCCGCTACGCCAGCGACTCGCGCCATGGACGTGACAACCGACGCCAATGCGACCGATCTCGTTCAACATCCAGGAGGTCCATAGATTCTCGCAGTCAATCGAGAAATCGATACGACAGATCTTCGAGATCCACCTCCCGAGGACGAGACAACCGTGGCGGCGGACGCGGCAGCCCGCGCGGCCGTGATATATCATTTGGTAGTGACAAAGGACGTGGCAGACGTTCCCCGAGCCGTGGTTCGTCCCGTGGTTCTCCCCACGCCAGAGGACGTTCCCCTGCCAACTATCGACGGTCACGCCGTTCCGACCGCAGTTACGTCATTCGTGGCAAGACCTTCGTGGCCAACACTAAGGTCACTACGACATCTACCAAAGCACGCCGTCGGATACGATTCGACACACGTAATGTGGAATACTACCCACATACCGTATCCGGCAGGGCCAGATTGGACAAGTGGAAGGAGATGCCGAACGAGGGTGGCATTGTCAATGTACCAGACCCGTTACCACAACGATGGTGGGATCATAGTGCAGACGTTCTACGAGAATGTCCAAAAGAGGCACGGCTATGGTACAATGATCTATATGACTACCGACACAGCAAGGAGTCGGTGGTCACACCAACTGCGACCCGACGATTCGATGACGCTGTCAAGCAGTCATCTAAGACAGCCCAGACGAAGACGACGACGATGCAAGTCGACCCACCACGCTCGACCGTTGCACTGACACGATCTTGGGTTCTCGACAGTGGTTCTGCGCATCATATTCAGGGTAAACAAGACCTCACGCAGACCGAGTCGGATCGCATATCTATTCGCGAAGAGCATATTCTGGAAACCGCCAATGGTGATCGTATTGTCAACGAGCACTGCGACATACAGCTACCCGAGGTTGGCTTACACAGTTCAGCCCTTGCTTTGCCAGACTGTCCATCTTTACTATCAGTTGGGAAACTGATTGAGGTTGATGGCTTTCGACAGCTTTGGGATCCCGAGCTGGGCTACTTACTTCAGGATCCGGGGGGCCAACGGTATAATATTCCAGTCAACAATAGAGTTTCAGAATTACGACTCGACGACCTGACACTGATACCACCACCACGTCTATGCACTTCGTCAGCACCCCGACGTCGTCAGCGCAAGCGTTCATCCGACCGCTGCAACGACAAATTTGCTGGTGCTGCAAAACTACAGAGCAGTCAACAACTGCAGATGAGCTACGGCCCCACATAAGGACCTGCCCCAAGAGACCACATGTCGGAGAGGGAGGAGGAGCACGGACCACCACGGTCGAATAACCTCCCGACACAAACAAAGACGAGCCTAACGTGGACACACCCACCGACTCGCCTACGTCTCAGACGCAGTGTTCTCAGCTCAAGAAGATAACGACATACTGACGGAGACGCTCACACGAATGCACCACGACAATGATCGCGTTCTTCCAAACAGACAGAAGAAACCGATTGACCCGATGCACTACATGACTCACAGTCCAAAACACCCTGGCTGTGAGATTTGTTCTCGCACGATGGCGCAGAATGCTCCGTGTCGACGACAGCGCAAACCACATCCACCGGCAGACCCCACCGACGAGGACAAAGCCTA